ACAGGCCCATAGTGATCGAACTGGATTTTGCCTCACAACCAGCCAGACTCATACGAACCGGAGAAACATTAGAACCAAGGTTCAATATGAGAAAAGCTGATTGGGAGAAATTCGGGAGACTTTGTAAATTCGAGAAAGAGAACCTAGCTAAACTCCCTTTAAGAACCTCTGAAGACATTGAAACATATGTTTCTAAATTCGAAGAGGTTCTAATAAGGGCAGCAAAGGACTCTATTCCATCAAAAATGACAAAAACGCGCTCTCAACCCTGGTGAAATCCTGACTTGCGAAGTAAGAAGCGGGCGATACAAGGACAACGAAAAATCGTCGCTCTGAAAGACAAGGAAGGACCGAATAGAAAACAAAGGAAAGCCCTCCAGAGATTACTTGGAAAATTGAGACAAATGAATTCTGACTATGCAAGGGCTATTAAAAGAGCCAAAAACAACAGCTGGCGAGATTTCTGCACCATTGAAAGCGAAAAGAATGCTTGGGCGTACCCATACAAACGAGCATCCAAAAAAGTTAGAATCTCAAAAGCGATGTGCACGGTTAACCGTAATGGTTCAGTCACAAAAGACTGGAACGAAACAAGCATGGCTCTACTAGAAGGACTAATGCCTGATGACGACCCAAGCTGCGAAAACGTTGTACATACAAAGATTCGCAGAGATATGCGGGAGGTTCCAGTAACCGGCGACGCAACGCCTTTCCTAATAAGGGAAGTTGAAATGGCCCTTAAAGCGAACAAGGCAGGGAAATCACCAGGCAAAGATAAAATAGAGTCAGAAATGCTTGTTAACGCAAAACCATTACACCAGGAACTGACGCGACTTTTCAACGCCTGCTTAAAATGCGGAGTGTTCCCCAGAAGATAGAAAAGTGGAATGCTAATCACGTTGCTCAAAGGGGTTGAAAAACCCGAGAACAAGATTAAATCATATAGACCCGTATGTCTACTCCCCATAGCTGGGAAGACACTCGAGAGGCTTGTGATTCAAAGAATATCCAACATTCTTAACAGCTCGGACTGGTCTTCGGAGGATCAATTTGGCTTTAAGGCAAACAAATCCACAGAGGATGCCATCAGAAAACTATATGAAATAGTAGAAGAGGCAAAATCTGATCCGTCGACAAAGTACGTAGCCGCTATTCCACTGGACGTCTCAGGAGCATTCGATGCCTTATGGTGGCCAAGCCTGCTCTCCTAATTGAAAGAAAGAAACTGCCCGAAGAACATCTACAAGCTTCTCCAGAGTTACTTCAGTGATCGAGAAGTGGGCATATATGCTCACTTCGAAGAAACACTGAAAACAGTAACGAAGGGATGCCCTCAGGGTTCAGTATTTGGACCGGTAGGTTGGAACGTCATCTTTGACAAACCACTGCGGGCAATCAGGGACGCAGGATACGAAGTACTAGCCTACGCAGACGATGTGCTTCCCATCATTAAGGCAAAGACACGCATTGATTTTGAAAGACAAGCCCAAGAAATCATTAATATAATGACAGACTGGTGCAAGTCTGACAAAATGAAATTAGCAGTAGAAAAGTCAGCACTAATATGGCTAAAAGGCCAACTAAGCGAGAATAGGAACCCTACAGTCAAAATTGGGAAAGACAACACTAGAACGCACAAAACAGTCAAGTACCTAGGAATCACGATCTCAAAGGGCTTCCAATTGGAAGAACATATTAGAAACGTGGTTCAAGACTGTAATAACAGCTATTTCGAGTTAAGTAAAGTTGCAAAAGCCAACTGGGGCCTAAAATTCAACTCCATGAAAAAGATATATAATGGCTTCCTACTATCAAAAATTACATATGCCGCTGCGGGCTGGTGGCAAAGGACCAACATCAAACAGCAATCTGCGTTAGAAAGATTGCAGCGATCCGTTCTTTGCAAGACACTCAAAGCCTACAAATCGATCTCTCATGAAGCGGCACACGTGCTTGCAGCCTTCCGACCAATAGCTCTACAGCTTGACGCGAGAGTTGCAAAGTACTACGTCAGGAAAGGGAAATCGATTAAAATGCACGGCATCAGAATTAAATCGGAGGAACTTCGATCAGGCAAACTAAAAATCTCGAAAGCCATACAACTCTTCAACGATGAAATCCAAAGGGTATGGCAGGAGAGATGGCAGTCAGCCACAAATGGCAGGAGAACGTACTGCTACTTCCCAGTAATCAAGGATAGATTAAAGAAGAGGTGGCTAAATCCCAATCACTATACAGTCCAGTTTATGACTGGACATGGTGCTTTTAAGTCATACCTCCACAAGAGAGGATTATGCGTAGACCAACTGTATAGCTGTGGAGAAATAGAAAGCGAAAGTCATATTCTCTTTAACTGCGAAGATATAAGGGAACTAAGGAAGCCATTAATAGAGGCCGTCGAAGAGGAGGGTCATACATGGCCTTGCCCGGAAACGGCCCTAGAATCTAGCAGGAAAATCTACAAAGTCTTTGAAGACTTTGCTAGAAAAGTCATAGAGCCCAGAGAGGGAGCACCTATAACAAAGAGAAAGCGCAGAAAAATAGTCACGAACTATGGTAGAAAGACGCCGCCTCCTACAAGGTCCCTAACCAAAGGACAAAAACTCTCACAATAACCTAATTTTTGAACCCAGACAAGCTTATAAAGCTTCAAATTTTTGAACGATAATTTTTGAACATCAACTTCAGAACTAAATTCTGAAGCTCGAATACTTGAACGCGAATTACCCCATTTAACCCAACGACGGAGTCTTGAACCAAATGCGTGGCATGACCGGCAAGAATACTGAAAACTGCCTGGGGAGTTGCCTTATCGGCTAGGCGAGACCCCGCCCTGACATAACAGTCAAAAACTAAATCGAAAGAGCAAATATCAGTATCAGCCAAGTCATAAAAACCATTCTTTAGAAAGCGACATCTGATTTTGGGGCAAAAACGGGGTAACAACGACCTTTTCGAATGACGGATACCTACCAGCGTGAGCGGAGATGACCGAAACGCAATGGGAAGACGTGCCTTGGTACGTCGAAGCGATGGACCTGTGAGTCGTGGGAGAAATCCCTTAATACAGGTACTCAGGGTGGGATGTTCTTCGAACGCCAGCCCAGGAGAGGAGGCTTAGTTGGTTGATCGTCTTAGGAATTTCCTCTGGCTGTCCTGGCTGAGTCTCTCTTCTGACATCCCAATTTGGGTTGGCCTCTGCGGGGTAGTAGTACCAGGTCAAGCAAATCTCGTAAGATTTGTATGCTGCGTGCTTCCGACGTAGTAGACGTTGGGGTAACTAGAGTCGAACCGTGAAAAGATCGGTACTCCTTTCGAGGAGGTCGCCGCCTTAGATCAGAAAGGTTCCGACTCGCTGTGTGCGTCAGGGATGTCGCAGCAAACTTGACTTCCGGATCTCCAATAATGTTTGAAAACGAAGGAGTGAACGACAGTGGGCTATGCCAACCTATTGGCGCCCAGAGAGAGGGGTGGTAATGTTTGATTACGCTGCGCCACCCTCAAAGCGGAAAAGTGTGAACGACACACATACACTAACTGTAGTCAACTAAAGGCGGTTGCAATCATGACGCTCTCAGGAAGCTCGATTATGGTCCGCTTAGCAAAAACATAGATGATGCACACAGTGCACCATATGGCCAACCGCGAGGCTGGCCAGGTCACTTTGTGCAAAAATCTTTTTGTCAAAGCGGCGGACAGTAATTGTCTTCCTTAGCAGAGAACGGAGACTCCTCAAACAAACACCTCGTTGTTTTAGGAGAGGACGTCGAAAACTTCTCTCTTTTGTGTACGGGCATATACAAATGCTGAAGTACAAAATGCGTCACCGATTGCCCTCGACAAGCAGCTAATGCTAGTCGACCCGAAGTGACTGCAATGTATATTTGAACGAAGACTTGCAATCACAAGTGCGGATGTGTGTACCTTCATGTGGTGGGGCTGAAAACGCTGTCTCTGTAAAGAAACAGGAGGCAAAACATACAACGCTTGCCCCTAGGGCAAAAGGCCAACTGGCCAAGCAAAATAAACAACACGGATGCTTAGGATTGAGCCTAATATCGGAGCTTGATTCGAATGTATGGCATGACTGGCATGAATATTGAAAACTGCCTGGGGGATCGCCTTGTCGGCTAGACGAGACCCCGCCCTGACCTAAAAGTCAAAAATATTAAATCGAAAGAGTAAACATCAGTATCAGCCAGTCATAAAAGCCATTCCATAGAAAGCGAAATCCGAAATTAGGGCGAAAATCGGGAAACAACTTTTTCGATTGACGAATACTCACCAGCGTGAGCGGGGACGACCGAAACGCAATGGGGAGACGTGCCACGGTACGTCGAAGCAATGGATCTGTGAGTCGTGGGAGCAATCCCCTTATAGATACGCAGGGTAGGATGTTTTCGAGCCCAGGAGGGAAGGCTTAGCTGGTTGATCGTCTTAGAAACTTCCTCTGGCTGTCCTAGCTGAATCTCTTCTGACATCCCAATTTGGGTTGGCCTCTACGGGGTAGTGGTACCAGGTCAAGCAAATCTTGTAAGATTTGTATGCTGCGTGCTTCCGACGCGGTTGACGTTGGGGCAACTAGAGTCTCGTCGCGCCCAAACCGAGCGTCAAGCCTTTAGTTCCGCTCTCCCTGAGCGTTGAACCTTGAAAAGATCGGTACTTCTCTCGAGGAGGTTGCCGCCTTAGATGAAAAAGGCTCCGACTCACTGTGAGCGTCAAGGATGTTGTAGCAAACTTGACTTCCACATCTCCAAAGTATTTAAAAGCGAAAGAGTGAAAGACAGTGAGCTATGCCAACCTATTGGCGCCCAGAGAGAGGGGTGGGAATGTTTGATTACGCTGTGCCACCCTCAAAACGAAAAAGTGTGAACAACGCATACACTAACTGTAGTCAACTAAAATCTGATAAACCAATCAAAGTTTGATAAAAGCGTTATATAAAATAATGATTGTTTCGATTCCTTGAATAAAGTAAATATTATAAAAACTCATCTTACTTGGAGGCATAGCTATTCCATATCCTTTCGAATCCAAGAGTCCACCAATTTGAGTCAATTCACAGTTTCTTTCTATTACATATTCGATAGATGTAGACTCCATTAAAAATGCGTAACTTCCTTTTCCTTTAACAACCCGTTCTACACCATCAACGTTGCTTTTTGTAAAAACTTCATTCGGTGGTTTTGCAGTTTCCATGAAGTGCCACATACGTTGATAGGTTGAGAAGTTTGAATCCTGTAAAATATATGATCATTATTTCTTTCAGATTATTAAAAAATTCTAGTAGGAAAAAATCTTGTATTCGGAACTCCAAATAAATACTTTTTATTTCAGTATGTGACGGTTCCGTCGACTTTGCCAGCTCCCCGTGTCTCTCTCTCCAACGCCCATGCCACCAGAGCCGTCATCGAGCAGCTGTATTGATACACAGCTAATGCTCGACGTTGATTTTGCATCAGCGTAAGCGGCCAAGTACATAACCAATGGGCAAGTTAGGCATGAAACAGCTAGAAAGGTAATTGACAATAGGAAAGAGAGAGCAAAAGGGATCGACAGCGCGAGCGAGATGGACAGAGAACGAGAGCAGGTAGGTTTCTTTGTACACGACGATGGTGCGGTGTTAGCTTTGCTCAAGCAGACGTGTGGGGGGAAAGCGGGCAGTCTACCGCGCGTACCGGGAGAGTTAGAGAGCGAATGTTAATAGCTGATCACACGTCGATAAGGACAGAGTTAAGGCGAGTGATAAGAATTAACAATACAAAAGGAAGAGGAAGTAGCTAAGCAGCTATGCCGTTAAGTAGTCAAGCAGAAAACAGCTAATCGCAGGTATCAGTTGCGACGTCCTCTCCCAGAAGATTCGATGACATTACCATTTCTCTCTCGTGTCTCGGACGCCTCGAGACGTCGTAGTATTGGTGCGTTAATACGCATAACATGGCAAATACCGGCGATTAATTTGTGGCTCATCCGGTACCTCATTACTTATTATTTCTTGCATTGTCCCGGTGCATCTTGAAACGCACGAAAAATTGTACGTGACGAATGAGTGGTGCGTCAATTCGCATACTCACTCAAAGGACCCCGCACAAACCTTACGGAAAAAGACTTTCTATCGAAATGGTTCAAAATTTGGGATTAGCTAGCCAACATCATGTAGATCAAAAGTCTCCATGGGCGCATCGACCGGCTATGACTAGGTTTCGAGATATGATGCCTCAAATGTAGGCCAAATGATGGATTTCTGAATTACCAGTAACGTCTGCGTGATCAACTTTTAGTATGCATATGTTGATACGCGCACCCATACAAATAACACAGTAAACAAATAAAGAATTATTAATATATATATGCATATATATAGACATGTATATATACATACATATATCTCTCAAAAAATCATATCGACGACCAGGCAACCGCATACGTGTATTATTGGGTTATCAACATCATATACAGTGCCGCTCACGCACTTTTACCCCCCCACGGGCAAAATCAGTCTAACTTCAAAGTTTTATATCTCTGGTAGAAATTAACGTACAGAGACGCGCGTGGGTGCGTTTGAAAGGTCTTTCGGTGAGCTTTCAAATGATATGATTCACGGTTGCCATCGATTGTTTTTTTTAATTTTGCAACAATTATGCAAAATTGAAAATTCTGAAATTTTTTTATTATTTTTGACAATTAGCCAATTTTGGAAAAAAAATCGTACGAAAATTTGAAGTACACCATTTTTTAGCTATTACCAAGCCCTATCTGAATCACTCATCAAAAATTTATTTTCGTCAAATATGACGCGCGCACGGGCATTTTTTCCTGGAAGTGACAGTTTTTTTCAACATTTTTTATCTCCGTCAAATTGTAACAATCGAAAAAAATTTATACGAGAAAAAATGTTTGTTGTTTCACGTAGAATACTGCAATAATTTTTTTTTTGGTTTTTTCGAAAAATTTTTTTTTTCGGTTTTTTTCAATTTTTTTTTCTCACAGTCGAAATAGGCCTCATTACGAAGATGCCACCATTGATAGATCGTAACGAAAATTAGTTTCGAACTGAAGAAGCAAATGCTTCACGTTTAATTACTAAAACCAGGTGGATTGTTGAAGCACGGAATGGTCACTTGAAAAGTATTTTTAAAATATTTTCAAATACTGTACCAACGTCTCATGCTGCAAACTTGTCTGACTTTCTTTGCTTTGCTGGTGCAATTATAAATAAGTACTATGGGCCTATAACCATGCCAAACGCAGACATAGATTTGGCCAACCAAATGCTTCATCGAGCAGAAGAAGAAAATGTAGTACAGGCAAGAGTAGAGGCTGAAAATCTAAGACAAAGAAGAGCGCGCTGGCTTCTGCTTACTCCAGAGCATGTTCCGCTATTTCCCGAATTAACTGTAGATGATTTACATTCTCTGACATATGGAACGTATCAAGTTAACTTAGCATCTTCTTATATACAAGACAGTTCTTTAACAGCCGATCAGGAAGACGGTGAACAAGAAGACATGACTTTCCAAATCGACTTAAATACGAACGAAATAGGATTTATAAGAGTCAGGTTGCTTTCCCGTTTCAGAAATGCTACTAAACATCAATTATGGATTGCTTTTAATCCAGAATATGACGCCGAAGAAGAAAATAACGATATAGACGGATATTATTGTACTTGCAAAGCAGGAGCTCGAACTTTAGGTACCTGTGGTCACGTAGCTGCTGTTATTTGGTACCTTGGATAAGAAAAATACCACGGAAACGTTCATTATCCATCGCTTCGACATTTTCGTACCATAATGGATGCTCAAATGGAAATAGACAATCTCAATGATATTGAAATAGTAAATCCGAATAATCTGAATCAATAATGGATTTATATTAATGTGAATTGTTCGTTCACCATTTCTATCAGCAAGAATCTTCCCTTATATATATATATATGTATATATGTATATATATATATATATATATATAATTTTTATTTACACTCAAAAGCTATTTTACTACTATTAATTTAAAACAAAAAAAATTAGAAATATGTGCTGACGCATTTAAAATTATATAAATATGGATTGCAAGTGTGGGTTCTAAAATGCTTCTATTTAGTTAGTTCACGTTTTTATATACAGTTCATGGTTTTTTAAAATAACTATCTGAGCTATATATTATAAAGAATTTTATAGATATAATATATGTATAAAAAAACCATGGATATATTGATTAATATGAAAACTGACAATATCAGACCTCAGTTTTTTTAATTTTATATACGAGGTGTGATCAAAAAGTAAGGTGAATTTTGAAATTTAGCGGGCTACGTCCGTTCGATCTTCGACTTTTTTATTTGGTTATGTCGGTACACTCGTCTAGAACATACGTTCCGAATTTCAGCTTTGTAGTATGTTTGGTTTGTTTGTGAGAGGCATCAAGGTTAGAAGTGTTTTGCGTGCTCCACGATTTGCTGCTGTCTAAAAACATGGATCAAAGAGTTTGCATTAAATTTTGTGTGAAAAATGGAATCAAATGTTCCAAAACACTTGAAATGCTGAAAGTGGCATACGGTGAGTCTACTTTAAGCCAAAAAAATGTTTACAAGTGGTATAAACTCTTCCAAGAAGGCCGAGAAGACACCGACGACGAACCTCGTTCTGGACGCCCCAGCACATCAACAACTGATGAGAATGTTGAAGAAGTGAAGAAAATAGTGTTGGGAAATCGTCGAATTACCATTAGAGAAATTGCTGATGATATTGGCATCTCATTTGGTTCGTGCCAATCAATTTTGACGTGTGTTTTAGACATGAGACGTGTGTCAGCGAAGTTTGTTCCGAAATTGCTCAATTTCGACCAAAAGAAACGTCGCATGAGCATCGCCCAAGAGCTACTGAATGACGTCAACGATGATCCAGATTTACTCAACAGGGTTATAACAGGTGACGAAACATGGGTATACGGTTATGACGTCGAGACTAAGACTCAATCGTCCTAGTGGAGGCATTCTGGATCACCAAGACCAAAAAAAGCACGCCAAGTTCGATCAAATGTAAAGGTTTTGCTTACAGTTTTCTATGACTGCAGGGGCGTGGTGCATCATGAGTTCTTGCCACAGGGTAGAACAGTAAATAAGGAATATTACCTGCAAGTTATGCGCAATTTGCGCGAAGCAATCCGCCAGAAACGTCCGAATTTGTGGAAAAATAAAAATTGGCTTTTGCACCATGATAACGCCCCTGCTCACACATCGTTGCTTGTGCGCGAATTTTTGGCTAAAACCAACACAGTAACGATGCCACAGGCAACGTATTCCCCAGATCTGACCCCCTGTGACTTCATCTTGTTCCCAAAACTGAAGAGGCCCATGAAAGGACGGCGTTTTGCCACGATTGAGGAGATAAAGACGGCATCGAAGGATGAACTAAACAAGATCACAAAAAATGATTTTTTGAAATGCTTTGAGGATTGGAAAAAGCGTTGGCACAAGTGCATTATATCCGAGGGGGATTACTTTGAAGAAGATAAAATAAAAATTGATGAATAAATAAATATTTTTTGAGACAAATAAAAATTCACCTTACTTTTTGATCACACCTCGTATATATAATTTGATTATATTATATAGAGTTTAAAATTTTAAGTATGAATGATATATACCGCCACTATCGTCATCATTAGGTTTAATTTTTTTTAATTCTGCGTCCTAATTCGACACAAGGTTGAATTTGAATGCCTATTTAATTGAACTGAATGATCAAATTGCATATGCCAACTTGAATTAGTGTTGTATCCTAAAATCCATATAACCACTTATACTATAAATATATAATTCAGTTGTTAAATCATTGCAGATACAAAAATGCCTTTTAAATGGCACAATTAGCAGTGGATTATTTCCTCTTGCATATACATAAGCCAACTATATTATACATAACTAGAATACATGTAACAGAAATATTGAGTAAGATAGAATATCGACATTCAAATTCATAAATGACAATAAAGTTAAAATAAGCTAGTTTAGCCAATTCGGCTATATTTACGTTCTCTTGTAATGTTTTTGAATAAATGGATATTGCAGAATATTATAATAATATGTAAATTAGTCAAAGTCGAGGATATATAAAGTTTCTATAATATTATAAAATTGATCTTTTATGTCTAGTATACTTGATAAAAATTGGCAAATTTAATAATTTTATTGAGTTTTGCAATTATGAACCCTCCTGACTAAAAGAAGATCATTG